CCCCATTGTCGTGTCTAGCTACGATCCTGCTTTCTGTAGCCGCTCGGAGAAAGTACTGATATCTCATATGTAAAATTGTAAATACTTAAAAATAATTGAGTTTTAAGTGTCTCGTCTAACCCTGCAAGGTTATTACAGTTACTGCTTGCACCTTCATATTATGTAATATTTAATGAAGAGAAGCAGTGGCGGACACAAGGAGAGGGAGTGAGGGTGGAGGCGAGCCCCCGAATAATTTTCAAAGACTGTAAAAATCTTGTACCAAATAACACAAATCACACTCATATAATGTAATTGTCATATTAAATAATAACTATTTGATAAAACTTAAGCTAAAACAGTAAGCAATATACCAAACAATATAATAATATACGTTTCTGTACTGTACATGACACAACATACGCATTTTATACATTCTTTTTGACGGATACTAGGAGGTCAACTTTTTGCAACAGACACTTCTTTAAATGTCATTGTCGATTTTTTGTTGTTTTTGAAGCTTATACTAGTCTTTAGAAGCGAAATTTTCAGCTGCACAATAATATTTGAATGCGTATTAAGCTATTATGCCCCAAAACAACGGATAATTCAATTAACATTCCAATTTTAATTATTTTAACAAAAACAAAAGCGTGCGCAGCGAATAAATTTCACTCACTTAGCGAAAATTTTTTTACATGCAATTCCATTAAGAAATGTTAATAATCATGTAAATATTTTCTCTGAAATGTTGTTTTTCTATGCTTAGGCCTGTTTTATACGTCGAATTTCGGTCGCGTCGAATGCAATTCAAACAATAGATAATGAAGCTTAAGGAGGTTTAACATCTCATTATCTATTGTCTTAATTGCATTCGACGCAACCAAACTTCGACTTATAAAACAGGCCTTAGCATGTGATTTATAACTGAATACCGACCATTAAAACAGTGTTTTAAAAACCTAGTATTAGTTACAAAATGTGTTCTCAGAATGCTTCAAATGCCATTTCCGGGATCCCAATTTTAAAATTTTCCCGTGCCTTCGGCACGAACCCCCCCCCCC